GAACGAAGCAGGATAAACGTGATATGACCGATTAGAAATATTGAACTTCCTTAATCTTTACATCAAAGTTATTGATGGGACAGCACGATTTCTTTACGGTCCTTTTTTTTTCTTCTTCAGTTCGTTCCATTTTGTTTGATTGCTTGATAATGAAATATATTTATCAAACACTTTGTTATATATAGGTACACAATGATTGGATGTCGAGTAACATTAGTATTGCATCAGTGTGCCAATCTCTAACAACAACTTTGGAGTTTCCTTGATCGATCAAGAACTGACTTTGACTGACTGTCACGAGAATGTACAACAACTGCTTTTGGCGAATGTATCGACTCGAATGTCTGATCAAACTTCGATATTCCTTCGACGCAAACATCGAAGTTCTCCCACTATTTATACTTTTAGAAATAAAAAATGACTTCTTAAAGGGGTGGGGTTATGAAGAAAAGCACCCATTGGCTAAAACGTTTCTTCATTCTATTGATACTTATAACAGACGGACATATTTATGGTCATAAATTTCCGAAGATAATTCTATATAATTCAGGTACGTTTAAAATTGCTTTATTACTTTAGCAAATGTCCTAAATATCCAACCAATGTCTTACAAAGGTTTCCGACGTCCAAAATTAATCCGACAAAAATTGCTTTATTACTTTATCCCATGATCCTATCGTAAATACCCAATCTGTGAAATACCTTATAAAGGTTTTTGTTCTCCGATATTTTAGAATCTTCGAGATCCATGTCCCAAAAGCTACAAATGACAAATAGTATTATTTTTAGATCATGTTTATCGAAAACCCCTATGGAATTTTAAAAAATATGTAAAAAATATTATCCATGTATATTTTTTTTCTTTTTAGTAAACATTTATTTAATTAATGTAATAAATATGGAAAATGGAAAATGCATGATAAATATGACAAATAAATAACAGATTTATTTGATATTGACGATATATAAGAATAATAAAAAAAAAAGTAATTTTTGTAAAAGCTCTGTCCGTATTAATCTTTTCTGCGATTGTTTCTTTATTAAGTCGACGACGATTCGAATGAATTAGTTCTTACTAATTGCATATTTTTTTGCCAATTTGTTGGTACATATTGTTTGTTTGTGTGTATGTGTTTGCATGCGTGCTCGTGCTTTTTCTTGATATATGTTTTTTTCTTTTTATAATTTGGATTAATCTTCTTGTCTTTGTTCTTTCTTTTTTCTTTTTTTTTTTTTCTTTAACAATAATGAATGCAAATACCCGAGAAACAAATTTCAACGTAAATTGCGCGCAATTAAAGAAGGCTGCATTGCGCGACTGACAGGTTGCATCTTACGTTGCGTGTGCCGCTATAATAACGTGGTTTACAAAGTACTGTGAATTATTATTGTAGATCAAGTAATAGTGGTGCAACAACAATTGTTCTCTCGCACTTTAACTGTCAATGAGAAAATAAAATAAAAAAAAAAGTATCATTCGTTTTGGAAATGAAAGTTTCAGTGTGTAATGAAAACGGTACGGGTGATCTGGGATAGTGTTAAGATTGATGTCGGTGATAATTAAAACGATTTCCTGAACTTTCCCTTGATCGGTTCGACAAAATTAGCTGCTTAGGAAAATACTATCTGATAAAACAGATCGCTTAATGGCATAGCCGATCGATCGTATTTCTCGAAGTTCATTGTTATCTTTAACCTCTACAGGAACACAGTGACGTATACGTTCAGTTTTAATTTACCATTAATGTTCAACGGCCAGATATGTGAACATTGTTTCTTTTTTTTTTTTTGTGTATATTTATTGCTTTTCTAATTTTTTTTTTGGTCCAGTGAACTGTATTATAAGATGTATGAAACGTAATCAAGTAATATTATTAATTATATATATGTAACTAATATAATTAATAAATAATTAAGTCATGTTTTTTCATTTTAAAAAATTTCCGTGATAAAGTTGAAGTGTAAGAAACCGTTCCTGACCGTGTTCTTATTTGAACTGGGATTTTTTGGAAATAATAAATGGAATTTCTGCAATAATAAAATGAAATAATTAAATAACAAATGAAAAATCAACAAATTAAAAATTAGAAATATTAATCGATATTGTATTGTACTGCTTTCTTTTTCTTTTTCTTTTTCTTATAAAAACGAGAAAAATAGTACGATAATTCCCCGTAATGAATAATCAAACATGAATTATTTCTAATAATGAAAATAGTTTGTCTATAATATAAATACGAAAAAACTTTCGGCTCAATCTGATATACAGGGCTTTCTAGTGATATTTGTATAACCGAGCAAGAAGCTCGTAATAATTTATTTGAAAGAAAACAATCATGTATACAGTATCGTGAATGGAATTTTGAACGATTTCTGCTTTAATAAAATAAATTTTTGTAAAACTAATACATAGTATCATTATGAAATTAGTTAATCATAGTTAATTATGAAAATCATTCGAAAGAAATACAAAACAAACTAATACAATAGCACGATATTTTCAACCAGAGGAATCAGTTAATAACATTGTATGTGTTTGCAATAAAAAACATGTGTAAATAACTATTTTGAAGTAGATCTTTCAAGTTCGAAATTTAAAGTAAGTAGAAATTTATCAAATAGTTTTTTTTTTTTAAATTATTTGTCTCGAAAACGGAGTCTCCTACGTCAAAATTTTACTCTACATTTTTGACTTATTTTTTTCATGAGGAATCACTCGGTTGTGCTCGGTTGTATCACTGTTACCGGAACAGTGTATATATATATATATGTGTGTGTGTGTGTGTGTGTGTGTGTGTGTGTGTGTGTGTGTGTATGTATATATGTATATATATTTGTATATGTATATGAACTCGTCAAAAATGATGAGAGTCCACGAACCGTGTCTCGAGCGTAGAACTCGTTAGAGAGCATCCTTCACACCCCCTACCCCCTCATCCTCTTCTCTCTTTCTCTCTCTCTCCCTCTCTCTCTCTCTCTCTCTATCTATCTATCTATCTACCCCTTCACTTCTCACCATCCCCACACCATTTTCAGTCGTTTCGCGAGACCTATATACGTTTTACAAAACGCAAGCAAATAGAGATAGAGGAAGAGTGAGAGAGGGGGGTGAGAGAGAGAGAGAGTTTCCAAAATTGTATCTCTTAAGAGATTCTATTTCATATTTCCTATTTACAATTAGTATAAATTTTCATACAAATTAATATTGGAAATTGTAGCCTCTTAAGCTCGAACGTTAACCTTTTTCCAATAACAAATGATTGTTATAAATTCTCTTATAATATAGGATAAAATGAACGATTAAAAGATACGATTTTATTTTAATTTGTAATTGGAAGTAATAAACGATTAAATTGTTGGAAAGGACTTTTTATGTATTGCTATATTTTTTGACAATAATTTTTAAAAGAGTTTAATCAGTATTATTCTATTCAATAAAATATTCTGTCAATTTTAACATATTTTTAATATTAATAACATATTTTTATAAGTAACGTCTTTATATTAAATCGTAATTTAAGTATGATAATTGAAGTAATAATACAAGATCAAAAAACTTTTTTTTTTAATTTGTATTTTATACACTTGATTGTATTTTCCTGTTTACGTAAACATAAAAAATAATTTTTATTTAAATTCCTCTTATGTCATCTTTTTTATACAGATTGTAATTATTTACATGCAGGTATAGTTATAAAATGATTCATAGCTGTTAGAAGGATCTGAGAAATTTTATGACGGTACGATTTTGAAAAAATAAATAAAACATTTGGTAAAAATTGATTTAATTTTTTATAAATAATCGTAATATTTATTTACATATACAGAAAGAACTTTTTAGGTCAAACACTTTATAATAAATTTATTTATATAATTAAAATGGAAAAAAGAAACTTATACAATAAAAATATTATCAATCGAATAAATTGATTAAAGTATTATAATGATCGTATTCACACACACACACACACACACACACACTTCGTTTTAATTTTTTTAATTGATATATAAAGTAAAAGAATTTCTTTTACTTAGATCAATGATATAATCATTCTCATTAAAAAAAATTGAATTGCGTTTATTCAGATTGAAAATAGATAAAAAAATTCTGATATCATTTATTAAACGTAATCGAATATTTACATATCGAATATCTTCATTTTCGGTAATGACAGAGAAAGAAAGAAACGAAGGGGACAAAAAAACCAAAGAAAAAAAAAACGACCAACAGAGAAACAAGGGAAAAAACACAAAAAATAGATTTTAGAACTGATCATTACGCATTCGGCAACTTCTATCTTTCCCATATTGAACATGCATATATATATATATATATATATATATATATATATATATGATGATGTGTGTGTGTAGGTAGGTAGGTAGGTAGGTAGGTAGGTAGGTAGGTAGGTAGGTAGGTAGGTAGGTAGGTAGGTAGGTAGGTATAGGAAACGTGCGAGCTATTGAAATTACGCGAGAAGCACGCGTTATTAATACGAGAGAGAGAGAGCGAGAGAGAGCGAGAGCAAGAGAGAGAGAGAGAGAGAGAAAGAGAGAGAGAAAGAGAGAGAGAGAGAGAGAAAGAGAGAGAAGCAGAGCACGCTGGCCTCGACGTCGACTTCGGTTGTGTTGTGTTGTGGCGACGATACTGTTTTGCTCACTGAGCCAGAATTTCTGCTAATTCTACAACGAGGGAAAACCACAGCGCAGAACCGAAATTGTAATCACCGGGAGAGATGCATATTGCCGTTATAGAGCTGGAGGGGTGGGTAGAGGGAGGCATATATCGTTGAACTCCGTTGTTCCTAGCATACACACGCACAAAAATATATATGTATGTATATATGAAATATACATGTGTATATATATATCTCTTCGTTGATGATGGTAGGGAGAACGGAATATTGGCTCTATACGTAGGTTTATAGTTTATTTGCTTTACAAGGTAACTTGCTTTAACGTAACGAATTTATAGGTTAAGAAAAAGCGAGAAGTAAATGTATATATAGGTGTATACGTATATATATATATATATATATATATATATATATATATATATATATATATATATGTATGTATATAATTCCGCTAATTGCTATAATGATAGGGAAAATATATCTGTGAACTGTAAACGAAGAGTAAAATGTGTTATTAATACTTTCAAATAATTACAATTTTTGGAGATAAATAAATAATCCGATATGAGATTGATTTGTATATCAATTTGATTGATAAGTCCGTTAACAGAACTCGAAGAAAATTCAGTTTTTTGAAATTTTCTTATATTTCACTTTCAATAGAGTATTCGATTGGTATTTCACACTTTATATTTAAAATAAATCTTATTGATTATTACATTTAATATCATTAAATGATACAACTTTCTATGATAGCTAATTAATAAATTAATTAACTTTGGAAGCTAATGTGTGTTTCTTAATGAATTAAATCAAATAAAATTGTAACAATGTATAATTTGAATATATGCAGTATAATTTGAATATGTACGGTGTGTAACAAAACTACTCGACGAAATTTCTGGATTGAATTTCACATATGTAAAGAAGAAGAAGAAGAAAAAGAAAGAAAAATAGGTTTTATTAATAAAATATAGTTCGTAAATGATTGATTTTTGAGTTATAATAGTTCCAAATATGATCTTAATATCTACTGTAATTATATTTATTTTATTTTTAGAAATTTTGGTATCCTATGTTGACATTTCCTTAAATGAAATGTTCCAAACGTTTACATTCTGAAGATGATTCAAAATTCCTACCTTTGAAGCTTTGTTAAATGTTCTTG